TAATCGAGGTAACATTTACACGATATAGGTAATTCTCTACAACAAACAAACGATCGGTATCTTATAAATAGTGCCTTGTTTAAGTTCCGATTTATATACATCTAACCCTGACTCTAATCTGATTTACATAAGGCCTTAATTCATCTTAAAGGAAATCCTCAAGCTAATAGTGTCTGACAGAAATGATTTAGTCATTCATATTATAATGTTTTATATTATATAGTACCTTATTATATAGTATATTGCGTAGATTATTGTTGGCCTTAGATTTATTCATCGTTTATGTTAATTTAAATCTTATTATTTTTATATTGTTATTTAGATTGCACATCAAATATTGAAATGTTACGTCATCATGATCTTCCTGCTTTTTCCTGAATTTTATTGGGGTCACATTGCATCGATCTGGATAAAATTACCATCCTCTTACCTGTTGCCAAACCCAGCAATGTCATATTTTTAATGAAAGTAGGCCAAGTAGAGTAGCCAGCCCGAGAAGGTTAGGGGTTCCCCAAGCCTCGGATGGCAAATGGAACTGAGACCACAGTAGCTCAAAGAAGTCAGGGTCGAGTATTCGTATGTTCTGTGGTGGATATTAAATAAAAGACAAGGATCCTTGTTTATATCACTTTTTTATAATTTATTTTCACAACATTTTTTATTTCTGTAAAATTTACAATAGCTAAAACTCTTCACAAATATAATAGTAATTATGTATCGCAACAACACAGCGTCTACGTGCTTCGTGTAGCACGAAACAGGCAACATGGAAGAGAAAAAATAATAAAAATAATAACTATAATGTAAATATACTTGATAAAACCTAACGATAAGCTTATATAAGGTAAGGCATTATGACCTAGCAACCGATTAACTAGAGAGTCGGTGTGTCGAACATTCGCTTGTAACATATGAGCGAGGGGTGCGACACTGCGTGAATCCGTGACTGCAGGGTGGCCAAGAGGCAGCGGTGCAGCGGAGACGGGCTGCTTATTATTTACTAACGTGTACATATATTGAGCAGAGTTTAAGTACAGCTACAAGAAAAACAACATTACTTAATGCTCAATTTATTGACATCGAGGAAAATTATACTAAGACTTTTCAAGTCGTAATTGAAAGATAATTGACTTTTTTATTTGCTCGTTAGTTAAATACGAGCTTTATATATGACGCCAAATTGAAATGAAATAAACGCAGTTGTAGGTGCTATTGCACTAAGAATGATATTTCATATCTTAGTGATAACGAATTGCGCATATTTTATGTATTGTTATTAGTTGTAAAGAACATTTATTTTAGAACAGATAAAATACATGCAAACTGAATAATATATTCTATTTTGTATTCGATTATTTATAGAATTGGTTGGATACATTACTTCCCGGTGTAAAGGACAACATTTAAAGTGAGCATTTGTACTAAATGGTTGTACAAGATGTAAAATCATAGTATACTAAGTTTTTTAAGTGCTACACCGCTGCCAATTGTCAAAGCCTGGATTCACGAAATCACAACTTTTATTATAGCGTTTACGTGCTTAGCTTCAAACGACCACTTTTCTTGATTCTCTTGATTCTATTGTTTCATTAAATATATAACTTTCATTACAAATGCTTTATAACGCACATTCTTAATTTTATTTGATTATCTCCATAATTTTAAATCTAAAAATTTAATTTATGCTACTACCAACATAAATATAAGTAAATGCTTAAAGTTATATTATTAATTTATTAAACATAGAAGCTACTCCATTGAGTTCATTGAAATACATTTACTTCAAATTTTACACAGTGTATCTTATCATGTCATCTATATAGTTAAATTGGCATTATCGAAAAAAAAACTATAAGAAACTAAATATGGTTGCCAATTGCCAATACATCAAATATTCCAAGTTTAAAGCTAAGTCTTTTAAACATAGACTCGTAATTAAATATTTTACACTAATACATTTATATTGATAGCATATCAGAACTTGGTGATATTCCTTTAATGAGTCCAAATAAAATTTTTGTATATTATATTGCCTTAGTGGTGGCATCCGAACCAGATATTGGTCAGTGGTTTACAAGTTAGTGCTTACCGTCAAAATAGTACTCTTATTGGGAAAATCTGGAGATAAAGATATACTAGTACATAAAATGTTGTAAAACTTAATATCACAATGAATCAGTAGAAATTGTTTTCATTAATATTTCAGTTATTGAAAATAACCGGCTTTACGATAAACACAGCATCAAATCAACAATTTCATCAACTCAAATTCCATATCAAATTTATAAAAAAAACCGTTCTGATTAACCTTGGTTTACATCTTATCTTCGAAATAGATTCTTATTTAAAAATAGGATTCAAATTTAGACCAGATAGGTACAGTATTCTTCTTAATCCTTACTTTAGAAATTTAACAATATATACATCTATCAAACATCTAAGATAAGCACGCAAACGCCCATTGACCAGTGTAAAAATTAAAATTAATTATAAAATAAGGCTAGCCGAGAACTGTTGGTAACTTTAGAAAAATAATAAAAGCCTAAATTATATTGCAATGTCTCTCTTTTAAATATTTTTTTAAACAATTTAGACCGTTTTAACTTTTTTTTTTCTTTCAAGACCTTTATAAGCTAACAAGCATTCATTGTTAAAAATTTCAAGCCCAGTCTTTGATTGAGCTTTCTGTAAATCGAAATAGTTAACTCAACTCGCTGGCTAAAGAAAAAATTATGTAACAAAATGTATGTTTACAATGCAAGTCAATTTAAAGCTCGCAAATTTTATTATATCTACGAATGGCATGTTTGCTAGACGAGACTGATGAAGTGATTGACTGGTGCTAACTTACACTAAAATACCTACATAATCTTCTCTATAGCCCTAAAGAGAAAAATTACAAAATATGCCACAGATTTACCGTAATTTATTTTCACGCGAGGAGGTAGTTCTTAACGGATCTTGCCAATAGCTGATCTACAATATAGATTATAACAATCACAGTTACTTCTAATAAATATAGTGACAATATAGAATGACATTTAAAATACCTGTCGAAAAGACTACAAATCACAACTTAGAAGCCTGTCTCGATATAGCAAGTAACACTAGTGATAATTAACTTACATTCACTCTTATTAATATGGAATAAAGTTTAGATTCAGTTAACTATGTTTATGTACTTTATTTAATTCTAAGTACAGACGACTGAGTGCTATTTCTAAATTTAGGGCTACGGTTTGACATTCTGATGCTAGCACTCATGTTTGTTTTTTCTCGTGCCACTGAGTTGGCTACTTGTTCTCATGTCTCGCCATAATGTTAACAAGAAGATATACACAAAGTATACATCAGATTGCGACAGCAGAGTAGAGTAAACCGGAGCACTGTACTGTATTTTTTGAATCAAATGTGTTATTTTGCCGCAGCTGTAAGTATAACGTAGGATAGAGAAAATAAACACACGATTACAGTTAAAGTTTAGACATAAGAAGACTACGATTCCAAAACATTTTTTGAAGATTATTAAAAAAAATGAGATCTTAAATTTTGGTTCGACAGTGAGCAAAGTCGGGAAAAATTCGTTCATAAACTCGTTAATTGTTCCGAAGTTAACGATAAAAAGTTAACTCTATAAGATGATTGTACTTGATTACTTCAGATATAACTTCAACTACTCAAAATACACTACATAACAAACTGCTTTATTCAAGCACTACAAAGTTTCATGCAAAGTTGTGTATACATATAATATTTACTCTGAATATGCATTTGGCAAAATATCTAACACATTCACGTATTGGCCGGACACTGTTTACACAATCGTTCATATAATCTATATCTCATTATAATACAACAATAATATATCTCTCTATTGGATTTAATCTACATAATGTTATGTAAGTAGATAATATATCATCGACAACATGGTTAATTAATACAACAATTAAATCACATTTTCTATACCATCTACAGCTTTAATACAAACCGTAATTGATGAGGCGTTAAAAGTAAAAAAAATGTTCATAAGTACTCTGTTACTAAACTTGGCTTCACTACTTGTAAATGTTCTTAAAATATTTTTATAACGGTATATTATTATTATTATTTAAAAAGCGTGAACTTTAATATTGTACACTCCTTAGTAATATTATTTTTTTGGGCTTTTTTTTTATTTTACATTTTTCTATGCGAAGTATCTTAATTTGTTACTTCGTACGCCAAGCCGTATACAATACTAGAGCGTTCACGAAAAGTGTAAGTGTATACATACATCCTTTCAGATTGATAAATACATAGTAAAATAGTGATTTGACCTGTCTCACATTGAGGAGCGGCGCGGCCGCAGCAGGTCGCCCAGCGCGCCGGTGGTCGCTTCAACAACTATCTAGCCACTCCACGGATTGTCTCGCTATTCAAAGGCTGCCGCACAAGGTCGGACTTGTTATATTGTTGTTGCAAAAACGATGCAAGCTCCTCAATTTGTATTCCGCCGTTAGAACCGCGATCGTGTCTCGCGACCGATTCTCTTTACTTGATTAGTGATAAAACTCGTATCCGACCGTCCGCTTCTCCGTGATATTTCGAAGGCGAGAGACATGCCACTACTTTTATGGAGACGACTTCTATACATCAAAGCTTAAAAATAACTAAGTAGTCTTTTTTTATAGGCAGACCGTCGACTCGGGACTCACTATCTAGCGGCGCGTCCGTCACATCCGCGTGAACAATAATTTTCGTACTGCTAACATATTAACTTATCAATACGAAAGGAGTACGACTAGAAATTACTTCACGCGTCGGCCGCGCGGCCGCGACTTAGCGCGGCTGCGAGCCTGCGGCGGACAATTGACGTGCGAATTGATTAGGCGGACAGTGAGCTGCGGCTCCCCGCCACGCATCGGTCCGTACACATACATTTTTGTTAACCGTATTATATACATTTGGCACTAAATTCATCGTCGATCGTTAAGGGGCTCGAGCGCGGTGGGCGCGCACGGTCACGCGGGGCACGTGGCCGCGCGGCAGCACTCGCAGTACGGCGCGGGCAGTGCGGCAGGCACCGGCGCGCACGCGGCTGGCGGGCACGCCGTGCAACCCATGCACGCCGCGCACGGCGCGCAAGCTGCGCAGGCGGCACATGCCGCGCACACGCACACGTAGTACTGCGGAGCCATCATGAGGGGTGCGCGCGCGCACAATTCGCGACAAGCCAGTGCCTCGATTAGAGCCAACGTTTGCCGTCGCTCGTGTCCCATCAGACAAACCGTCGACTCTCGTACCACACCGTGCAGCAATGTCAGGTACCTGCGCCAAGGAACAGTCACTATGAGCTTTAGAACAGAAAAATGAGCCATTATGACTTACGGAAATTTAGCAGAGACTACCTACCTATGCTTGAGCGCTTCCTCTTCCCTGCCGACGAAATGGTTCCGCAGGTAGGCTTCGAGCTTAGCGCGTTGTTGCCCGAGCTCCGGGAAGTCTATGAAGAATCTCGAGCACATGTATCGCTCAAGAGTTTTGATTTTGTCCGGCCGCGCCGGCCGGTAGCGTTTTGCGAGGAGGGCGCAGTATTTGAGCAGACCGCCACCGCGAATCTCTTCCGGCTGCCTTGTCGCGATGAATTTCTCGGCCAGATGGTGCAGGGCCTCGTGAAAGTCCCCGTATACAGATTCACCGACGACGGTCGGGTAGAAGTTCTCACCGATGGGTAGTTGGGCGCATTCGTGGAACGCCAGTAATGAATCTAGAGCGATCTGGAACGAGTCTACAGAGAACTCGAATTGGCGACGCATCGTGTCCACGAATTTCAGCTCAACAGATTTATGGCCACGGGAGTTGCCAAGTGAGATCAAAGACCAGCGATCTCCATCCGAATTGACGCGTACCATTTTTGAGACATAAGCTTCTTTTAGACCTGCAGGTGTTGCACGGCGGCGTGGCGTAGCAGGAGGAAGGAGAGTAGAAAGATGTCCTAGCACAGCAGCTTTGACGCGGTCACAGTGGCGGGCGGTAGGCAGTTCTGCTTTGAAGATTAGGTCGATATCAGAATATGGCTGAGCGCGGTCGGTGAGAACGTGACTGGCCGCACCTCCGTTAAGTCTGACATCACGTACTGCTACTCCCGCTCCACCAGCGGCTTGTGGGGCTTCCAGCCGAGCGCGAACACCAGCGACGAGTTCGCGCAGGCGCACGTGTAGCGTGGGGAAGTTTCCGCGGCCGTGGATGGGTACCACTTCGTCCATGACGTCGTTAAGTCGCCGCACCTGCTCATAGCTGAGCACGGCATGGCGCTCGCCACCTCCGCATCCCTCTTCTGATGACGTGTAACTTGACTCGCTCTGCAACAAATAACATCACCGTTGTAATTTGAAAAATTACCTTAACACGATACATATTGATAGTAATAAATATGAGGCTCTGGCTTATTATCATGATGGTTGATTAATTATCGATTGATGTTCCGATGATACAAAGATTAATTCCATGCAGGTGTATTCAGTGATAAGGGATTTTAATGATTGGCATTTTACTTTCTAATGGTATTATTATTATTATTTTCCTTTAATATATCTTATATTAAGTATTATAATCCTTAAATTTAATCTTTCATTTACTCTTTGCCACCAGACGGTTGCATTTATTTTAACTTTATGATTATTTTTTGTTACTTTTGCATAATGATGAAATATTTCAATCCAAAATAGGTATATCGTCATATTTGAACCTACGACACAATTTTAAAGAATGACTCGGTTTTGTAATTGAGCCCATATTGTGTCTATCCGACTGAGCATTGAAAGCAACAGGATAGCAATATCTTTGTTCATTTGTCGCAGTCAATGTTACACAGATTGTATTTTAAACCGTCTATTGTCAAAGTTCAATGGACTTTGAAAAAAAGATCATTATATAATTTTATCTGTAAACTTGTATGTATGTTAAATTGTTAGTTTTATTGAATAGAAAACTCGGATATCAAATCGCGGGATACGGAATGCTATTTTAAAAATAAATAGTGACTCTAAGGTGCACTATATGAAGTTCAAATTAGGTTTAAATTATTCAAATTTAAGTTATATCTCTCGTATTCGTCTTTTTGGTCGTGACCTAATAGTTAAATCGTATTGTATCAATTTTATTATCAAAAGATTATCCTAATCTCTTATATTTCTATTTCTTATATATAAATTTGACGTCACAGTAATTTGACATTGACGACCGAATGGCGTAGTGGTTTGTGCAACGGACTGCTATTCCAAAGGTCGCGGGTTAGATTCCCGCTCAAGTCAAACATTTGTGTGCATGAACATTTAATGTTTGATTTGGTCTGGGTGTTTCTATGTATAATAAGTATGTATTTACAAAAAAAAAGTATATATGTATTTATATCAGTTGTCTAGTACCCATAGTACAAGCTTTGCTTAGTTTGGGACTAGATGGCGTTGTGTGAATGTGGTACAATAATATTATTATTATTATTATTATAAAATATATAAACACAATAAAATGATGTTCGTTGTTAAGCACATCACAGCTAAAATACGTTTTTCATTAAAAGAAAAATTAAGAGCTGCCTGGAAAACTTGGAAAGTCTAAGATAAGAGGAAGCGTTTTTTTTGTCAACAAATTCATCGAAATTCTGACAGAATAATATCTATAAGGTCAGCTAGTACCATCATAATAAATTGCATTAAGTTCCTGCATACAGTATACAGGAATTAATGAATGAACCATTGGGAGAATTATCTATCAGATAAACAAATATCATTACGTAATACCGTCACAATAACAGGAAATAATTTCACCACCATACTTTTACTGCCAGATACAGGATTTTTATACTAGATAGTGTGGTGAAGGATTAAGAATACGGAGTGTCACTACTATTCATTCCGTGGGTGTTGTGATAGCCGACTAAGGGAGCAAATTACGCAGGACAACAGCACTGCAAAGAGAAGGAAAACTTGACACAAACCCGTAGACTTGACACAAACAAGTAGGCCAAAACCTCCTTTCTAAGGAGATGCTTATGTCCAGCAGTGGACTATTAAAAACAGCCTTTAATAGTCCACTGCTGGACACAAGCCTCTCCTTAGAAAGGAGGTTTTGGCCTACTATACGATACTACCTTATAAAACACTTTATTAAAACTTTTTGAGATTGTCTTTCATTTTAAATCCCTTTCGATCACTGAGTATATAGAGTTCCTTGTCTTATATTAATCTAGTCTTAAGCACCTTTATAACATTAATACCACTTTACTTTCTTTATTAATCTTTAAAACGTATTGGATTGTAGGTTACGCTACATGCGAAAACGTAAAACTTTTATACATTTATAGCTACAGATAGACGACTACAGTAAAATTGCAATTGCGAAAGGGCTGTCGGACAAGTGGTTAGGTAGAGCTCCTGACTGCTAAGCCGGAGGTCGTGGGTTCGATTCCCATCCAGGACTGATAACTGTGTGATGAGTATCATCATTTGTTCTGTGTCTAGGTGTAACTTATCTATAAATATGTATTTATTTGTTAATATATAAGCATGTTTATCAGCGGTCTCGTTACCATAGTACGGGCTCTGCTTAGTTTGCGATCAGACGGCCGAATGTGAATTGTCTGAGGATATTTTTATTATTATTAGTGAGTCACTGAACTATTTTGTTACTAAATAAAGTTCACTTTCAATTTAAATTCTACATGTAAAAATAATACATCACAATAAATACACCATGTAGAATAAAATCAAATATAAATTTTGATGATGCACAAAGTTCATTCATTGTCGATAATTGTGCAATGATATCATTACAAAGATAAAAATATTCCACGAATGCGAAGTCGATTGTATCAGCGTACAAACGAAATATTTGCGAACAACAATAACAAACGGATAAACAATATAAAAAATAAAGAAAAGTTATTCTTTCTTTGATTTTCTTTCGCAGCGACACGGTGACTTAATGTCTATGGCATTTCTAGCTATCTATAGAGTAAGACTAAGTTAAAATGTGTTTTTGAACAACTCTGTCTTTACAAACGCAAACGTGAAACGTTTCTAAGACTACACAAATGCATATTGGATCATTTTGGGAAACATAGGGCTTTTTGATCAAAATCTTCAGTTTGATAAACTCACGAAAATATAGAACAAAAACGCAAATAAAGTGCGGCTGATGTGACTTTTGAACGTTCCCAAATTATATCTTCATAAAGTAACAATTAATGATTACTCTATTGCAGTCTACTGTTGCTGCTAACTAAATCATAACTAACGTCAAATATACACAATTCTACACCACGAAACACGCGAATCCACACCTCCTTTCTGTTAAAAAACTCATTTTTTAATATCTGATACAAAGACAATAATACACTTTACTTATTTCTAACAATGCTTTTTAATACACCAATAAATTAGAGTACAACACCTATTAATTTATTTTGAAACATGGCCTTTGCTTCCCACATGAAATATATCCTATTCGAGTGTCCGGTTCAAACAATATTTCATTGTAATTCATTACAACAATACTGGATAGTGGTGTCCTGCTAGGCCACTTCCTATTTAATCTGTGTCATTACTCACAGATAATAAATGCAACAGGACCTGTTATATACATTTCCAAGTTTAATTTAATTATAGATATGTTGTCATCAATTATCTTTGGAAAAAACCACACACGTATTCTATTTATTGAATTTATCTTTGGTGTTATCTAATTTATTTAGAAAATTTTATTTTAATCTACTTACAAAATAACATCCGTTGAAAGCATTGTGTATTTTTTAAAGGATTTCTTACATTTAAAATTTTTTTTTACTATTCTATTATCGTCGTGGATTTTTTTTCTCCACAACAATAACATTTAAATTAAAATGTTAATAATTAATAATAATAATAATTAATAAAAATAATAATTTCGTCAACATCACATATTTTTCGTTTTTTTTCCAATTTAATTTGTGGTTGGAACAATGGGTAAATTCAAAGGACCAAGGGTTTGGGGAAGTGTGTTTTAAGTCAAGCCTTAGTTTTTAAGCCTTTAACTAGAATATTTTCATTTATTATTTTAAATCATAATAATTAACTTATAATACATCCAGAATTACATAATCTTAGGGATTCGCTATCGGCAAAGGTCATAAACAGTTATTTCCAGTTGGCTTAAGCGAAGGCTAGAATAGTATTACGAGTGTGGTTTATTTAATGTTATTATTGTGGTTTAATTATTTAAATATATAGATAACGAATATAATAAGGTAATAAAACAACATTGATATGATAGCGTTTATCTGATTAGTTATTTTCTAATAAATCTGATTGTATACGATATTGATCATATTATAAACAAATTAGATTGCGATTTCCTTTGGAAGTCGAATTATTGTTTGTTAATTAATCTTACTGAGCATATTGTACATATAATAAAAAAATCATACTACATATTTTTATAATTTTATGTTTTTACCACATGAAAATTAATTTATTCATTAAATGCCACAATTTGAACTAAAATTTCGGCAATGAACTCGACTAATTCTATGCTCTTGGAGGACGCAAACATTATATTTTTGAATTATCGGCTATTAAACCTTCAAAGTAAATGTCAAGAGAATAATTTAATACGATAAATAGTGTTATCTTGTTTCAGAACGCAACCTTAATTAAAAACAAAACTTGCCCATCACTCACACTACGAATTAAAAACTTGTAAAAGTGTCATTGTCAGTGTCATGGCTGGCGCGCTGAAGCTCTCATGAACTGTTCGATGTGACCTCGTTACGGCGGCCGATTAAAATACAAAATTGTGTATTGTTTTTCCTTGTCGATTTGAAATCAGTCTGTCGTTGAGGTCGAATGCGCAATCGTAACAAATCGTATCCGAAGCGAGCCATGCTCTCTACAAACGTGAATAAGAGCAGTTACACTTTTTTATTGCCTCGTAGAAATCAGCTGTTCTGGCAAGGTCGCGTTGTTGCGTCTAGTTGTTATTTTGTTTCACTGCGAGTTATGTATTAATAGTGTCTCTGCTAGAAAAAATACGTGTGCAAACTTAACAATACTAATAGATATGTGTTATTATAAAGAGAACAAAAGAAGGACTAGTAAACACCTAGCCAACTTTTTATCTATTAAGTAGGTTTCCAACTTTTAAGTGAATATATTTAGAGACTTAACATTCTAGTGGAGAATCTTTTATTCTTGCATTGCATTGCATTCTTTAATTCTCTGTAAGAGGTATTAATTTAATTATTTTAAATTTAATTAGATGTAAATTTGAGTTTTTTCGCGCAATATCTTTCAATTATTATTATATTGTCTTAATTGTTTTTTTT